TTAACAAATCACAGCTACATTTGTTTAAAAAAGATATATGTGATGACATGAAATAGAGACTCCACTGGATCTTCACATACTAGCATTAAATCATAACAGTTCTTCTACCCCTTCATTCAGCTTGTTTTCCATCTTGCCTAGAAGGTTAGCAGTCATGGTTTCAAGCCTTCAATGTTATGATAATCCCCAGGTGGCACCTACTAAAGAGAGCATATTCAGAAGTCTCTGCCGGAGAACTTATTCCTAACAGAAAGCTACATTCTGACAGTTTTTATATGTTAATAATCACGGGAGACTTGCAGAGTATTCCCTCAGGTTGGTTGCTAGATTTGTCTTGGTAAAAAAAAGTCTTTAGACAGTTTGTTCTTTTAGACCTTCTAAGGATCCAGACAATATAATCTTTTGCTTGAAAGGTCATCCTAATTCTCTCTCCTTACCAGTAGGCAGTCTAGTAACTCTCATACATTAATTGTTCACTTCCTCAGCTAAATGTGTTATATAAGATGTTGTCTCCTATACCCAGACTGTCAGTAAATAATTTCTTGCTTCAACAAAAAAGCCTTTGTCACATTTCACCATTTCCTGATCCACTGATTGCTTCAGTATAGAATATCTTTCACTGAATATGTGTTTTATACCAATCTGTAGGGGCTCATAATTTGTATAAACGGAACTAGGAGAAATGTACACAGTTCTTTGCTGTTTCATGAATGAAATGAGGCACGATGGGCACTAAACGCTTTGGAACTGATAACTGCTTACGGGATGCTTAACCACTTCTTGTACACTCCAAGAACTGTATCAAACTGTATCAAAAACTTACTCTACACTGCTTTAAAGCCTGGAAAGGCAAGAATAACAGTGCTATTCCAAAGAGACATCAATGTAAACACAGTCAAGATACAGTGGAGTAAAATTACTTATAATCACAAAAAGTTACACTTGAACAAACTAAGAGTTCTATAAAAAAGAGGGTCTAACATAGTGAAACACTTTAAAAGAAAACTGTAACTGTAACACCAGTAAGGGCAGTTAAAAAAAAACCAAAGAAAAACACAAGATAGGAGACCGAGGCAGATCACCCACTTTTTTTCACAGTCTATAGCCTTTGTGAAATAAAGCAGGCTAGCCTTAAGAAAAACCTCTTCTTTCTACTTTCTTAGGTATAAAAGTGTAACTATTAACACCCAGTCTGAATTTGGCCTAAGAAAGGCTGAAATATTTTGCATCGAAGAAATTTTGGTTATAGAAAAGTAAAACACAAACTGCTATTACTTTTTGCCTCCAGTTATTATCTCAGAGTAGCTCTTAAGTTATGCTGTTCATCATACACCCTCTGGTTATGGTGAGGATAACCCTTTGTCTATCCTTCTCCTGATTCTAAATCATTTGCTTCTTCTGTATCTGCTCAGATGACATGCCACTGAGTTTTGAAAGGAGTCTCCAGGAAACTTCATACAGAGGAGCCAGAATTGTCTCTAAAACTGTAAAATCCAAACACAGACTTTGGCCAATCACAGTATAACTGAAAAAAAAAACTAAATTGGCTGAACGTACACACACATTTTCCTCCATTTACACTCATTCTCCTTTAATAATGCCATCTCTAAGGAAGGCTTACTTTTTCCACACTTATTGCTAAAGAATCAGAATGATCTACATCAAATTCTGCAGCTTTCAGTTGTAGCCTGGTGCCACGTGATATATCTCCACTAGCCTGGGTCCGCTAAAGTAAAACTCCTCACAAAATCACAAACATTTTTGGCCAAACCTAGAGTTTACTTCTTACAAGGAGTTCAGAAACTGGACCAGTCTCACACCACCATTCTGAACATCCAGAGGCTAGATGCCCGTTTACTGTACAGAACAAAACGAAAGAATGCAGACTAAACCAGCCTCACACATGAATGAGTGATTTCTCTCTCCACAGTCATCACAAGAATGATACCCATCATCACCTGCAGCTGTTTTCCTCTCTTCATTTGATCTCTATGTTTTGCATGTTGTAAAGCATAAAAAAAGTGATGTGGTAGGGTAGGGTGAATGAATATATAGAAACATACAACCACAACTCAGACGTACAGTCTTTTAAGTATCCATTGTGGAAGACAATCTCCTGATCCAGGTTTGGACTTGGTACTTTGAATGAATTGTAAGGAAAACTAAAACAATATCATAAGGAGGGAGCTGATGCTCCAGCAACACTCCCATTACATATGCTACAGTCTAATCACACAAACACCTCATGCTTCATAGGCAACATTGATCTGGATGGTATGCTATCCATTTTTACAGGGCTGCCCCTTTATACTTCATTATAAATCAAGGGAGAAAATAGTTTCAGAGGCTGTAATTTTTTGTCATATAAAACAGACATCTTAGTCAATAAATTTTCACAGTATCTGAAAGACTCATAATTAAAAAATGAACCCAAACAGAACAACTGTAAATTAAACAAGCAAATATGCAACTTCAACATACAACATATTAAAAAAGCAGACAAACTATTTAAAAGTTTCCTTAGCGGAGCATAAGCAACTTTTAGAATCTTTCAAATAGAATCAGATCTTGATTAAACCATAGCCTATACTATGACATTTGGATTAGTTTTATTTTAGTGATGCATATTAGAAAACAATGATCATCAGGTGGCTTTTGTCACTTGTTATTGCCAATAAAACACCCAGAGAAGTGTAAGGGGGTCAAAATCCAGTAAATAGCATCCAAAATATAGTCTGTGAGTGGAATATCTAAAAAGGCCTCAGAAGAACAAGGTAGAGTTACTGATATATATGATGAGTTACTGATATATATGATGAACTGATACCATATCCAGAAGAGCACAGGAGCATGCCTTTGTTCCTCATGAATGACTGGCAAATCATCCTAATCCATCCTAGCCACAAAAGAACAAGAGAAATTATACCCTGAACTAGTTCTAGATTTACCACTAGTGAACACCTTCAGGTATAAAATTGGCCAAACTACAAAGGAGGCATTCAACAGAATCTTGACAGAACAGAATTAATATCGACCACAATCAGTAGACTTTATTTAGGTAGCTGAAATAATCTGAAACTAGCACCATGCCATGCAGAGTAGTTTGAAAAAAATACATGAGGAGGAAGCAGAAAAACTTCCAAAACTGATAGGAAAGAGAAAGAAATTTTGTTTTGTTTTGTTTTGTTTTTTTTTTTAATGAATGCTTACATCTCAGGTTCCATTTGCTTGTTCCAGTCTATTCAGTAAAATTTGTTATAAATTTTTTTTTGAAAATCACTTATTACAATGTTCACTTAGGGATAGAGAACGGTAGATATTTGAGACCAAGATATAGAGAAAAACTCTATGCCTTCATCATTAATGCTGAAAAGCCTCCTTTTGCAAATTCTTATCTTCATGCAGGATTAAAATTTCTTTTTTGGTACTTGTGTCTGTTTCCTCTCTTCCTTTCACTGACTACCACAAAGAAGAGCCTGACTTTCATTTTCCCTGTAATATCCCACTAAGCGACATGATCCCATCTCAGGCTTTTTCTAAGACTTTAACAAATTTATATCTCTGCACCTCTCCTCACATGCCAGGAATACTGTTCTCCAGTTAACTGATAGCATTTTACACATGTTGTATTATAACATCTGAAGAATATACATTGTCTTGCTCAGACATATCCAGTCACTTTTGCTTAATGTGAGTCACAGAATTCCAACCAATTATGTTTAGCGCTGTTCACTTTTACCAACTCTTCTGAGGTTTGTTTTGTTTTTCTTTTAAGAAAGCAGGAAAAAGTGTTTTCTATTAAAAAATACACCAGTGATCTCATTTTCATTCTAGCACAAAACTCAAACTAAATATTTGAATATATCACAAAAGATAGAAACCAGAATTGGTGACAGTCTAATGGCTCAAGGCCATACGCTAACCCATTCCAATGAATCTGAATTTTACAATAGGATTCAAAATAAAACCACTTAAAATGCTGGCAATAACTACTACCCCTGACTCTTGTTTCTGGTTGTTTCAGAACAATCCTGCAATATACCCAGTGCTTCAACACAATTCTGAACGTGGCAAACTCCAGCAGCAGAATAAGGCCCTTTGTCATTCACATTTGGTCTGTTTTGGCCCCTGGCATTCCTCCTGTTTACTTATACCTTCAAGGTTCCATGAAATGTTAACAACTCCCCAGCTCATTCAAAACTTGCAAATGGCCCCTTTCCACTATAAATTAATGCATAAAACACAGGAAATAAGCGAATATCAAGTCACATGACCAGCTTCTACCTCTAGTAAACCTCTTGGCTATTTTTCAAAGGAAGACAAAGCTTCTCCTCCCAAAGCATCATGTAAAGTAACAAACTCCAAAAGTTTCCAGTTGTAGTGTTCTTATTTTCTCAAATAATTCAAAACTCTCTCTAAAGCCACCTTCACTCAAGCTCTCACAAGAAAGTCTATTTTCTTTTTGCAAAGCCATGTTGTACTAACACCAAATTCTTATTCTTTTGAACTATCCTGCTAAAGCAAGCATCAGCTGTATCAGCTTGAGGATCTGTTCAGTTCTCACTTAACTTTCTTAGTGTGGAAAAAACAACACCCTATCACTCCCTTTTATTCTTTGCCTTCCAAGAATAGTAATACCTCACCATAAATTCAGCTGTATTCAGGACTGTGCATATGCCACAGTAGATTAACACTGATGCAACTTATTTCTTCAATTTTTAAATAAATCCTACTGCTGTTGAATCACCTAAGGCTTTTGAGTTTTGTTTTGTTTGTTTCTTCCCTCTCCAATTTCTTCTGGCATCAAGACTTGGTTCCCTGTGCATCCCAGTTGGTAATTCTACAAAGCCCTAAATAACTACTAAAGGCAGTTTAATTTGACAAGTGCTGAAGACACAGAAAGAACAGAATATGACATGTTATTTTAGAGTAATAGTTTTTTTCAAATTCAGGTAACAGAAACCCAGGTCTGGCATAGACATGGGCCTATCTATACTCACTATGTGCAGCTGTAGAAAATCACCAAGCCCAGGGGCACTGTCAATCCGAACAAGGATGCCATCCTTCACGGTTGTGCTGAAGCCCACAGCAAGACGGTCTGTCCTTGTGCTTGGTCTATCATTAGCTGGCCAGGTGTACAGGATGAGACCTCCACTCTTCCCAAATATATATGTGGCACCAGCTAAAAAATACAAAACCAAAGAAAAATGTATTAGTTACTTATTTGCCAACTCTGGTGGTAATGCTTTGACTTCCATGAGGAACAATTTAAGCAAGCACATGCCTTCCCTAGTTACAGGAGTGAAATTAATGCCTCCTGCTGGCAGGCCTGATGAAGTACGTTATTAGTTCCTAAATAAAGACAAGCAACATTTAAGATAAAGATAAATTAAGAGTTTATCCAAACTTATCAAGATGGCTTATCAAGAATGAATTATTTCATTAGTGCTAATATCCCAGACAATGCTGGCTAGGACACTGCCTTTCAAGGGGGCAGAAAACAACAAGCCCCTTCTGTTTCAAATGCATAGGATTCAACCTTATAAGGGGATTTAAAGGAAATATTTGGCAGTTCTCCTTGAGGTTGGACTTGCCTTCAGCTGAAGACTATTCACACATAGTAGAAGCCTATCCTTTTCTCAACACTTCCTAAGATTTTTGGATATTTAATCCACATATTTACAACACTGTTCATCTTTACAGCGAGCCTGGGAATTTGTTCCTTGCCCTTGTTTTTAAGGACAACACCAAACCTCTCCCAAGCTGAACACTGTCCTCCCACATTCATGAGGGCCATCTGAGCTGAGGAAGACAGACACGCAAGTGAGGAATTGTTGTCGCAGACAAGGAAGCTGAGAAGCAAAAGCATTTGGAGTTCACATTCTGACTTGTACTCAACACCAAGTTAAGAGCAAGATTTTATAACTCAGTAGTTATAAAATTAGCCCCTGAGCTTCTTGGAAAATATATCTGAAATTCCTGTCCCAGTCCCAAATCTACAAGCAGACCAGGAACAACATTTCTCAATGCTTCAGCCACTTAGTGAAACTCATTTTCTGAGCACTATTACAATGGTTACATAATAGTAAGCAAAAATAACCAGCTTCCATTACTGCAACAAGGATGAAATACTGGTAGAAAGTACAGGTAATTACTGGGTACATTTTCTAATCTGAGTGAAAATACAACTGATGATCTTTTTTCCCACCACACCAACCAGAAGCATGTATCAAGCAATCATGAGCAGAGTAAATGTAGTTAGATACAGAAACAGGAATCATATATGGGTAACTTCTACACTTGCCTACAAAGCTGCAGCTTCACTAAAGCTCTTTATGATCTGAATTCCAAATAAATGCTACACATTAGTAGAAATAATTGATACACTTCCTCCTTGCTAAAGAGGCTTCCTCTGGACATCTCAGAACTCATTACCAAAGCAGACATCAGAAACTCAGCCACACAGGACTGAAATGATTTGTGAACGGCTGACTCAATAATAGAGTGAAAAATGAATTATGTTTCCTTCCTTCCAGGCCTGTGCATATCCAACAGAAAATGCCTTCAGAAAATTCAGACAAATGTGTCTGAAATCAGGGTTAGACAGGAAATTTCGCTCATAATCCAGAATTAACAAAAGAGCACACTGGCGTTCTGGAACTGTGCACATATTTCAGTTTCAGAAAGATTAATTTTACAGACTGAACTCAATCTCCTCATTGACCTTTGAACTCCAGATACAGGGTTCATGACTATTGCAAGATGTATAGAAAGGGGCTTTGTTTGTTTAAACAAATCCCCAACTGTATCTGTAACCTTATGGTTAGACAGTTGGAGATGACCAGGTAGCAAATTATCTATGTCTTCCCCCTGCGCACAGGTACACCAACAGCCCCCTAAAACTATGCTACAAATATACTCCTTCAGTTTATCAGTTTGTTCTATAACTTCCATGTGTATTTGCATTACAGACCAAAACTAGGCACAGCAAAATGCTAAGCAAAACAAGATTTACTGATTGTTGATGGCTTCACAGATTAAACCCCACTTTTTAAAATTACTGTCACTCGAATTGCAAGTTATTCTCCTTTTCTTTGTACTGGTTACCAGGCCCTTCAGCAGCAAAAACAAGCTTGGAGGAGAGTTCTTCACTATTTATGAAGACAATTACTTCTTTGTCTCTAAGAGCCATTTGGCTGCAGGTAGACCATGTCAGTCCTCCAATGAGAGCCAATTAGAACCAATCATGTCCTCACAGGCCTTTCATGAAACTTAAACAGATCTTATTTTCTCCTCACAGAGCACAGATTTTTGCTTCTAAGCCTAACCTGAAGATATTCAGTACTTTGGTACTGAGGTACCGAAGGTTCCTAAGGTAAGGAGCAGTATCAGTATAAATCTACCTCTGTTGGGTCTTATTTCAGTTTTCTGCAAGATGGCTCTACATACTGCTTCTTGAAGACATGTAGTGTTCTAGTTCAACTGGGAATGTCAACTCATCTCTGGAGTTCAGCTGGCCCACAGACTGTCCAACTTTACTTTTCACTGTGATGGGCTTTGCAGTCATACATTCTGGCAAGGCACCGAGTTCTTGAAACAAAGATAATTCAGATCATAGAATTGTAGAATGAACCAGGTTAGAAAAGACCTCTGAGATCATCAAGTCCAACCCTTGATCCAACACTGCCGTGGTTACTAGACCATGGCACTAAGTGCCACATCCAGTCTCATCTTAAAAACCTCCAGGGATGGTGAATCCACCACCTCCCTGGGCAGCCCATTCCAATGTCTGATTACTCTCTCTGTAAAAAATTTCTTCCTAATGTCCAACCATGCAACAACCAGAGCAGCACTACCCACACAGACCTGTTAGCAGAAGCCCAGTGGCCAACAGTTGTTTCCTTATTGTCCAGGTCAAAAATATCTGCATAATGACAGATGGGCCACTTGCTTTATCTGTGTGTAGCTGAATGCACAATTTGTTGGATACATCAATCTCCCTTCCTTTCACCATCTTTCTGATGATGTACAGGATACCCATTGCCACGTTTGGAAAGAGATGCACATTAACATTGTGCTAGTATAATATTTTTTCCCCAAATTATGAACAAAATAGTCAATCCAGTCTGAAAACACAAGGTGCAAATGTCAAGTAAAAGTGGAAGAGGTAGTATTAGAAGAGTTACAACCATATTGTAATCACATAAAAAGAAAAAACAACTAAAAAGACAAACCCTACAACACAAACATGCTGACTTAAATACTTCTATTTGACTGCAGCAACTACAACTATTCTTACTTTGTGGTGTTGCAGAGAATTGTAGAATATTTAACCAAAGAACTCTGATTACAAAAAGCTGGTGAAATGAAAGTCCGTTGATCTTCTCACTGTACCGAAGTTTTGTTACAGACCACTTTATTAGACAAGAACACATATTTTTTTCCAAGACACTTTCTATTCAAGACAGAGAGCAACCACTTTATATTTAGTTTTTCCTCATTGTTCAAGGTTTATTTATGTAACTCCTTTAATAAATACAACACCAACTATGCTCTGACAAGAGAAAAATCTGAGGGATTAATTTCATTGTGTTATTGTTACAGTGTTTCACCACTTCAACTGTATAACACTAAGTTCAACCTATACCGTGAAAAAAAAAAGAAGAAAAAAAAATAAAATCAAGGATACGAGCACACAAAGTTATTTCCCCAGTTAGTTGTGTGAGCAATCTTACATCTCACAGTGCCCTCAGTCAGATTTACTGTACCAACATGTAAAAACAAATGAAAGCAGAATATTTTCACCTACTCTACTGGGATGTTGTATGCAGAATTTGGTCATCATTGGGAGCTCAGAGAACTAAAGACACATATAGTGAGGGAGCACTCCCTACAGATTTAAGTTACTAGGACACCATAACACATTTAGCATATACAAAACTTATAAACTCATAAAACTTAGTGTGACAGAGTGGCAATTGACTTCTTCCAGAAATTACATAACTTGTTGCTATAACTTACATCTTTGGTGTTTAGAGATTTAAACATCAAAGGTGGATATGTTGCAACATATATGACAATGTTGCCTGCATATCTAGCTTAGGTAAATTATGTATTTGCTAGCTATATTCACGGATAAAGCCGTTAGATTATTCAGTCAAGACACAATAGTTTGAAGCAAAGATGCCTCAAGGAAAACTCCTAACAGAAAAGTTATAACCAAGGTTATAAGCCACAGCAAAAAAAGTCTAAAAGTGAGCTGTGCTAAGAAATACCTAATTGAAGTTGGCACCACCAACTGTCATTTTAACCCAGTTATCATTGTTTTCTCATCATCACCCAAAGTCTTCAAAAACCTATTTTAAGGAAGAGTCATCACGGCTAGGCTTCGTGAACGAAGATTTGGGAAGGGCTCTACCCACGTTTGTTACAAGCGCCCTGGTGGCTAAAAAGGCCAATACGAGACAGACATGTCCGGTTGCAAAAGGCACAGCAGAAAGACTCCTTAGGTGGTATATTCTGCAAGACACGGTTCTTTCTGCATTGTCTTTTCTCCTCCAGAGTGATCCTGCGTGTGTTCTCAAAGGCATCAGCAGCGTTATAGATGGTGTGTCTCCAGACCTCCCGATTGGAGGCCAGAGTAGACCAGTTATGTTGATCAATATGGCCAAGGCTGAGATGTTGTTTCAGGGAGTCCTTGTATCTCCTCTTCGGGGCTCCTCTCATGTGACAACCGATGGCAAGTTCACCATAAAGCAAGATCTTAGGGAGGTGGTGGTCCTTCATCCTTGAGACGTGCCCTGCCCAGAACAGCTGTGTTCTCAGTAAAATGGCCTCAATACTTGTGATTGCTGCTTGCTCTAGAACAGATGTATTGGTCACATAATCTGACCAGTGAATGTTTAGGATTGTGCGGAGACAGTGCTGATGGAAGCGTTCTAGGAGTCGCAGGTGGTAGCGGTAGATGACCCATGATTCAGACCCATATAAGAGAGTAGACAGCACAATGGCTTTGTAAACACTGATCTTTCTACTTTTCTTCAAGTGTTTATTTCGCCAAACTCTTTTATGAAGCTTTCCAAAAGCACTCTATGCCTTTGTTAACCTGTTGTCTATCTCTCCATCAATCTTACCATCCGAGGAGATGAGGCTACCTAGGTAATTAAACTGCTGGACTGATTT